TGTGTGTGTGTGTGTGTGTGTGTGTGCGTGTGCGTGTGCGTGTGTGTGCGTGTGTGTGTGTGTGTGTGTATGTGTTGGATAATGAAACTCCCTCTCCACCTACCATCCTCCCCGCTTCTCTCCTCCCGACCTTCTCCACTACCTCCCCTACCGCCCCACGGCAAGGCATATAGGTCTATATTCCCACCTCCCTACCTTCGTCACATTTTTTATTGATTGATTAAAAACCAATCAATCAGTTTGTTTGTTACTTAATCAATCAATCTGTTAGTAATAATTGATTCCTCGAACTTTTTGATCGGACGACAAAGACAACAGTTGCTTTATAGGACTATATGCCAGTTTTCTCAACAAATGGGTTTTTGACTACCATCCTCCTTCTTCTTTTGCCCTTCCTCCTAACTTTCCTCCCCCGCACCTTCTTCTCTCCGCCTCCGCGCCTTCTTGTCTCGCCTCCTCGCCGTCTTCCCCCCACATCCACGCCTTCTTTCCCCTGCCTCCGCGCCTTCTTCTCTCCCCTCCTCACCTTCTTCCCCCCACGTCTGTGCCTTCTTTCCCCCGCCTCCGCGCCTTCTTCTCTCCCCTCCTCACCCCTGTCTCTTATACACATCTAGATGTGTATAAGAGACAGGGCATCGCCCAMCCACTTCAACAGACATTGCCCTTGCTAGTGGATGCCACTCCCACATGTTCCCTTGTTGAAAGCTTGAGTCCGGAAGTGGCTGCTGCGGGGTTCCCCATAATACTGTAAAGGGATAACCTCAACGCAGTTACTAAAACAGTTTGTAATTGCACTTCAGGTAGGCCCGCGAGTTCCACATATCCCATGCGACCCCACAGCAGTCTCGCGCTCCTGAACGGGGCGCGATGAACAAAACCGAAAGGGGAAATAAAATAAAATAGCAAMAGGGTCGGGGAACAGCGGGGCTGCTGGCCCCCGCCGGCCCCGCGGATCGGGCCGGCCGCCGTGCCTCCTAACAAAACCGAGGGGAATAGCCTTGGCGACCTTCAACCCCATCGGTCCCTTTCCGCGACGCTGCGCTGCAATTGCTGCGCCGATGCCTGCTCGCCTCGATCCCCGAGCCTCCGTACCGTCAGCCCAATGTTGTAACCTATAGGGCTAAGCCCAAGCCTGAGACTAAAACACGCAGAGTACTATACAAGACGGTGCGGCGCTTTGGGCCAACAAAAACGGGTGCGCGGCTCCCAGTGCCCGCCCCGGCTTGCTTATACCATGCCATAATTGGCGCGCGCGTCATCCTACTACATCCTTCTCACCGCACGAAAATCACGCCGTTATTGCCGATGCCGTCGTCGGGGTCGTTTCTCCGCACGCGCGCTCGACTCGGTCAATATGTGTCAATCAAACGAAAACATCCTTAATTCTTGCTTAATCAAAAATAAATAAATAATGATAGTATCACCAAGCAAAACAAACCGGGGTCTGGGCCGGTTTTGCGATCAACAATAGAAAAGAATCACGCGCGCCTTAAACCTGCGCGCCCACRCACTCGCCATTGTGGTCAACCATCCTGTCAACGTAAATTACAGACGCGGTCACGCCTAGCGTGGTATACTTAAATTTTAAACCAGACAACTTTCTGTTACTCGCAAAAACCAGGGCGGATACCCTTGTAAGGGTATTCGCACCGACACCGCCTCCTCGCCTTCTTCCCCCCGCCTCCGCGCCTTCTTTCCCCCGCCTCCACGCCTTCTTCTCCTCGCCTTTGTCCATTTTTCCCCCTGCCTCTATACCTTCTTCGCTGCCTCCACACCTTCTTCCCCTGCGCCTTCTTCCCCCTCACCATCTTCCCTCACACCTTTTCCCTGCGTCTGCGCCTTCTTCTCCCCCCCTCCGCGCCTTCTTCTCCCCGCCTCCTCGCCTTCTTCCCCCCACCTCCGCGCCTTCTTTCCCCCGCCTCCTCGCCTTCTTCCCGCCCTGTCTCTTATACACATCTAGATGTGTATAAGAGACAGTTCTTGTCTCGCCTCCTCGCCGTCTTCCCCCCACATCCACGCCTTCTTTCCCCTGCCTCCGCGCCTTCTTCTCTCCCCTCCTCCCCTTCTTCCCCCCACGTCTGTGCCTTCTTTCCCCCGCCTCCACGCATTCTTCCCCCCGCCTCCATACCTTCTTCTCCGCCTCCACACCTTCTTTCCCCCGTGTCTTCTTCCCCGCCTTCTTCCCACCTTCCTCGCCTTTCTTCCCCGCCTTCCTGCGCACCGTCCTTCCGTCATCTTCCTCCTTTTTCCCCTCGCCTTCCCCCTCCCTGTTGCCGCCTTTCCCACCACCACCTTTTTCCCCCACCTTCTCCCTACCTTCCCCCGCCTTCCGCCAACTTCCCCCCGCCTTCCCCCACCTTTTCCCGCCTTGCGTACAAATTACTGAGAAAAAAAAAAAAAAAAACGTTGATATGTGGGGTGTGTTATTTGTTTTGTGGCAATTGGATTATTAATGGGATGTGTGATTTTCTTTGTTTGACTGTTAGGCTTCTTTCCCTGTTAGGTTTCGTTTCCTCCGCGTTTTCTTTACCTCTTCGCCTTTTGGCTACGTGCAGGTGGGTCCTTGTGACACACGGGGATGGGGGCAGCCAACGCTCAACCTGTCATCCACGTGGCTGCTATTGTACGTAAGAGGTAATGAACAGGTGGGGCTTTCCTTCGTTACTTGTTTCCCTTCTTTTTTTGTTTTTTTTCACCTTTGCGCTCGGATTCACATTGTGACAATATATGTATGTCATCATAGACATACGGTACACGAGAAAGATTAGTGACGAGCATGAATGGATAAAAAAAACCCCTCTCTCTCTTTTTGTGTGTGTGTGTGTGTGTGTGTGTGTGTATTGGATAAAGAAACTCCCTCTCCACCTACCATCCTCCCCGCTTCCCTCCTCCCGACCTTCTCCACTACCTCCCCTACCCCCCCACCGCAAGGCATATAGGCCTATATTCCCACCTCCGTACCTTCGTCGCATTTTTTATTGATTGATTAAAAATCAATAAATCAGTTTGTTTGTTACTTAATCAATCAATCTGTTAATAATAATTGATTCCTCGGACTTGCTGATCAGACGACAAAGGCAACAGTTGCTTTATAGGACTACATGCTAGTTTTCTCAACAAATGGGTTTTTGTTTACCATCCTCCCTCTTCTTCTCCCCCGCTTCGCCACTTTCCTCCCCCGCAAATTCTTCTCCCCGCCTTCGCGTCTTCTTTTCTCGCCTCCTCACCTTCTTCCCCCCACGTTTGTGCCTTCTTTCCCCCGTCTCTGCGCCTTCTTCTCTCGCCTCCTCGCCTTCTTCCCCCCACGTTTGCGCCTTCTTTCCCCCGCCTCCGCGCATTCTTGCCCCCGCCTCCACACCTTCTTGTCCCCGTGCCTTCCTCCCCGCCTTCTTCCCACCTTCATCGTCTTTCTTCCCCGCCTTCCTGCGCACCGTTCTTTCGTCACCTTCCCTCTTCTTCCCCCCTTCTTCCCCCTCCATGTCACCGCCTCTCCCACCACCACCTTCTCCCCCCGCCTTCCGCCACCTTCTCCCCGCCCTCCCCCACCTTCTCCCGCCTTGCGTGCAAATTGCTGAAAAAAAAAATAAAAAATAAAAATATTGATATGTGGGGGGTGTTATTTATTTTGTGGCAATTGGATTATCCATGGGATGTATGATTTACTTTGTTTGACTCCTAGGCTTCTTTCCCTGTTAGGTTTGGTTTCCTTCTCGTTTTCCTTACCTCTTTGCCGTTTGGCTACGTGCAAGTGGGACCTTGTGACACACGGGGATGGGGGCAGTTAGAGCTCAACTTGTCATCCACGTGGCTGGCCTTGTAAGTAAGAGGTGATGAACAAGTGAGGCTTTCCTTCCTTACTTGTTTCCCTTTTTTTTTTCGTTTTTTTCCACCTTTGCGCTCAGATTCACATTGTGGCAATATGTGTATGTCATCATAGACATACGGCATATGTGAAAGCTTAGTGAAGCGCATGAATGGATGAAGAAACTGTGTGTGTGTGTTTGTGTGTGTGTGTGTGTGTGTGTGTGTGTGTGTGTGTGTGTTGGATAAAGAAACTCCCTCTCCACCTACCATCCTCCTCGCTTCCCCCCTCCTGACGTTCTTCACTACCTCCCCTACGCCCCTATTGCAAGGCATATAGGTCTCCATTCCCACCTCCCTACCTTCGTCACATTCTTTATTGATTGATTAAAAATCAATCAATCAGTTTGTTTGTTACTTAATCAATCAATCTGTTAATAATAATTGATTCCTCGGACTTGTTGATCGGACGACGAAGACAACAGTTGCTTTATAGGACTATATGGCTGTTTTCTCAACAAATGGGTTTTAGGGAGCGCGTTTTAGACTTTAGTCAATAAGCAACCAGGTTCATAACATAGGGATGGAATGACATCCAGTAGTGCCCCATAGGAGACCGAGGTGGACACAAACTACCACAAAGAAAAGAAAATGCAGTTGTAGATCTCCACCTACCATCCTCCCCGTCTCGCTCCTTTCGACCTTCTCCACTCCCTCCCCTTCCCTCCCACCGCAAGGCGTATAAACCTTTATTCCCGCCTCCCTACCTTTGTCACATTTTTTATTGATTGATTAAAAACCAATCAATCAGTTTGTTTGTTAATTAATAAATCAATCTGTTGCTTTTGATGACTATTTGTCAGTTTTTTCAACAAATGGGTTTTTGTCTAACTGTTGAAAAATTTTTGAAGTCCTTTTGATCACTCAGTTGTTTTGATCTTCCCCATTTCCCACCCCCCACCCCCACAGGCATCCAGTCACTTTTCTTCCTTGATTTTAATTTCTTTCCAACTCCACCCTCCCAAAGGCGTATAGGCCTATATCCCCGCCTCCGTGCTCCTGCCCTTGGTCAACCTTCTTCCTCGACTCCGCCTTCTTTCCAACTCCTCCCTTGTCTCGTTGAGCAGAAGCAAATCACGCAGCAATGCTGGGGGCCCAATACGAAGGCTAGTCCAATATGAAGAACATAGGCGCAACGTTGAATCTGGGCGGGTCCAAGTCTTTGGGCAGAAGCAAACCACGCAGCAGTGTTGGGGGCCCAAGATTAAATATCTGAGAAAATGGGACACCAACTAAGATGGATGTGGAGGATGTGTTCGATATGGAAGGTGATGAAGAGACAGAGGTCAAAGAGGAGATGAGCGGAAAGGAAAACAACGAATATGAGAAGGAAGAGGAGAACCCGATTGGAATAGAAGACGAAGAGGAAGATGGAGACGAAGAGGAGGAAGAAGAGGAAGAAGAGGAAGAAGGGGAAGAAGGGGACGACATGGAAGAGGTTGGAAAGCGGGAATTTGATGAAGAGAACGCAGATAGAACAAGGAAGCAGAAGACCAAAGACAAATAGGTAAAGAAGGTTTTTATAAATACGAAATTGCGGAAGCACCTTCTTCCATTCTTGTGGGCCATTTACCTCACAGTTGCCGGAGTGAAGCTGTACGTCCAGTTGAAGAACAAACCACACTACAAATATTACGGCGAGATTATTTGTGTGAGTTGGGTTTTGAACAAAAAAAAATACTTTGCCGAATTGTGGGTTGTCATGGGCGACAAGTTTTTAAGCTTCCTTCTCTCTTCAAAGAGAATGGTGCTCGACAAATTTCAAATTAAGAACAAGAAGTTGGCTGCAGCGAACAAAAAAGGCTTCAGGGTGCATATCTTCAATTCCCCCCCCCCCCCTCCCTTTCTCTCTCTGTTGGAGTCGTACCATGGCAGTTGCGAGCGTTGGAGTTGTTATAGTCCTATAATCGTTCCCGTTGTCCAAGCTGCAGCCTCTGAACGATTATAGTCCTATAATCACTGAGGCGACACAAACGGTTATCGGGTAGCCGAAAATTCAGGAATGAAAATTCTGAAGTGAGAGTTTTGGGCAGTCTGAAAATCTTGAATGGTCCTGAAGTGGTGAAAGGTCCGAAGACCATGAAAACCACCTGTTTAGGCAGGCTGTATCCTGAAGTGGTGAAGGGTGTCCTGAAGTGGTCAAGTGAGAGTTTTGGGCAGTCTTGCTTCTCGAGCAGTGGCGAGCGTTGGAGTTGTTATAGTCCTATAATCGTTCCCGTTGTCCAAGTTGCAGCCTCTGAACAATTATAGTCCTATAATCACTGAGGCAGGTGGTCTGACAATACTCTTTCTGCTCAATCTTGTTGTTGGAGTCCTCGTCTTACAGTGATGAAAATCTCAGTTGTTGTAATCCTAATAACATTCCTGGAGCCTTTAAATGATTATAGTCCTAAAATCATTCCTGTTCTTTTAGCTGCAGCCTCTGAATGATTATAGTCTTATAATCGTTTCCGCTGTTTTGTTCATGCAGGTTTTTATGGAAGAGCTCGGGGAATACTTAGCTCCACATGTTCAGAGCAGGCTTCTTCCGTTCAAGTACCCGAAGGTTGTGACAACCTTGACCCCCGGGTCATCGAAAGTGAAGGGAGGCAAGGAGAAAATGCCTGCGCTGGGTGTAATTTTCCCACAGACATGTATCGACTCTTCATGAGCTCTCGAGAAAGGTTCGGGTACGAAGTCAAAAGGTAACAAGAAGAAAGGACTTGCAGCGAAACCTGTGGCGTCTTCGAAAGGGAAAGACAAAGCTCCGTAAGAGGCTATGTAACCGTTTGAACGTCGTGAACGTGCATTCGTGTTCAAATGTGCATTTGAAACGCGGATTCAAATTCACGTTTAAAATTGAACGGCGTTCAATTACGTTTTTATTTTTAATTTTTTTTGTTCGATGCCTAAAAATATTTTTTTTTTCTGATTTGTTTCTTATGAGTTCTCTATGATGTGGGGTACATGCCTGTTAATTTTAGAGTCATTTTGCTAAGGAAAAAAAAAATTAAAAATTGCCAAAGATGCCGGTGTTAAATCGTATTCGCCCACTCATTTTTTTACTTTTTATTTTCTGATTTCAAGCTTTTCACTTTATTTCTCTACCTAAATAAATTTATTATTTTTTTACACTTTTTGCATGAGTTTTGTATAATGTGAAGTACCGATCTGTAAATTTTTAGGGCATTTGGCTTTGCCAAAAAACAATAAAAAATCGCCAAAGATGGCGGTGTCACAAACGTACTCGCGCACTTACTAATTTCAATTCTTTTATTTTTATTTTTATTTTTATTTTTATTTTTATTTTTTTCCCAATATTGTAATGAATTTGGATATAATGCTCAGGCAAATATTGTTTATTTTATTTTTCTTCATAACATTTTTATTTTTCGGAAGTTTTTGAGTTTTTTTTTTTTTTTTTTTTTTTTTCCCCCTGCAGAATTGAACTCCGTGTTCGGTCGTGTTCATTGCACACGCATGCATTCCGTCCAGTTTCTGAACGGAAAACCGCGTTCAGTGAACGCGCGGTTTCATAGGCAAGAGGATCGTGGAGTTCCTCGAGGTCTCGTGCCCGACGAATTTACCGACGAGCTGACACATGCCTGGAATCAGCTGGATAATTTGAAGGAGAAAAAAATGTAATAAACCCAGATCGTGAATACAGTTGTCAACAATGCAAGTCCAGATAAATGTCAGCAGCTGATGAGCACCAATAATCAAGATCGTGTCCAGACAGAATAAAACGAGATAAACATCCACAGACGAAGAAGAGAGGAGAGAGATTAGACAAAGGAGAGGAATATGCAATGCCCTGTCTTGCTTCGGGCTCCCTCCTCCAATTCCACTTCAATAATCAACAGTCTGAAGGAGTATCTGAAGTAACCTCAAGGGGCCACGGGGCACATCTAATTAGTTCCTCATCAGCTCTGGAGCAATGTCGATATGAAGACAATTAGGTACGTAGTCACTATCCCTCCACAGTCCTGATCTTCCTCTTCTTCGCAACCAGACACCTCATGTAGACAGCGTGGACAATGCCACGTCAGCAACCAAGACAGGTGGCATCATCAATGAAGGCCTATAACACCGCCACGTAGACCAAAAACAGCGCCACATGTACTAGAGGTAGCGCCACGTCAGCATGCCATGTAGACCATAGGCAGCGCCACATCAGCATGCCACGTAGACCATAGGCAGCGCCACATAAACCAGAGGCAGCGCCACGTTAACATGCCACGTAGACCATAGGCAGTGCCACATAAACCAAAGGCAGCACCACGTCAGCATGCCACGTAGACCATAGGCAGCGCCACATGTACCAGAGGCAACGCTATGTCAGCATGCCTGGCGCACAATGCCAGCGTCGCCTCTCCCTCGTGTCGTCGTGCGCAACTCTGATGCACAGCCAGCGTCCTGTCGGCATCGCGCTAATATAATGCAAGCGTCAAGTCAAAGTTAAGCCAGCGTTGAACCTGCATAGTAAGAGTAAATGCTGACCACCTCGAGGCCAGACTTTAAGCAGTGTTTCACGAGGCTTTCTGGCCTCGAGTCTCCACCCCTCAGTTGTCCAGATTGAGTCACAGCCGAAGGCCTAGATTGTACAGTTGCAGAGTTCCCGTTCGGACTTGATGTTGTCTGGGTGCCTGCACACAAACAAGTGTGTGTGCTTGACCTGTGACCTGGACTGAGTACCTTTGAATTTTGACTGTCAGGTTCGCGATAGTTGACAAAAGTCAACTGTAGCACGCCCAGCCCCAGAATCCCTGTGTGAGGTCCCTTATCTCGTTTTTAGCCTGGCTGAGGGCGGCCAAGTCGGCCCTCAGGTTTTTCCACGAGGCATATGGCATGAGTTATTGCATTCCTGTCGTCCCAGTTTTCTAGTTCCATCGCAGAAAATATAACAATTTTATCTTAACCCACGTTCATATGCAACAACAATGTCAGGAGCAGTAGATAGGGGTTCTTTTCGACTAAACCATCTAGCTTCAGATGGAGGTTGAGACTTGAACTGTACCTTGTACTGGTTCTACGGTCGTCCTCTGCCACCTGTAGAAAAAGTATCCATGTTCCAATATTTTCTCAACTTTGTAGCCTCCATTCATGGACGGTGGTAACATTCATGGCCTATTAGCAAAGTTGTCACTTTCTACATAGGGTAGTAGTTTAGACTTGTGAAAGACAGGGTATGTCCGCATGTGTGGAGGTATGTCAATACGATAGGATGGACTGTCCGCGTCTCCAATCTCCTTAAGAACTTCCCAGGGACCAAAGTAGACAGGTAGCAGTTTCTGAGACACATTTTCTTCTAATGATAACTCTTTAGATTTAACCGAAACAAAATCCCCTTCTTGAAATTGTGAAGGTCGACGATGTTTGTTAGCCTGCTCAATCATTTGTAATTGGGCCTTCTGTATGTTTTCCTTTACTTTCTTGATGTCTTCTTCATATAAAACTGCAAACTCACGTGTTCCTGGGGGTAGCCTCTGAATCTGGTCTCTCGTGAGGGCGTCAATGGGATGCCGGGTCTTCCAACCCTTATGCAGTGCATTCGGTGTTCTACCTGTAACAGTATGTATGCTGTTATTATAAGCACTAGCAATTTTGGGTAAGTTCTCATCCCAATCAATCTGGTCAGGTCGGACGTATATTCGCAAAAGTTGTTGGCATAGACGATTCATTTGCTCAGTTTGACCATTGGTTCAGGATGTCTGCCTGACGACATGGTCACCTTGATGTCATAGGCTTCCATCAACTTCTGCCATTATAGACTAGTGAACCGAACATCTCTGTCAGAGACAATGGTTTTCGAAAATCTATACTCAGAAACCCATCGCATCTGAAATTTTTGAATCACTAGTTCGGTTCTAGCTTCAGCAGGCAAAGGAATGAACACAGCATACTTAGAGAATCTATCGACGATGACCATTACTTGACTGTTGCCGTTTCAACACTTAGTGAGGCTCATGAAGTCAATAGAGATAGACTCGCGTGACTCACTTGGAATAGGCAGTGGTCTCAGTAGTCTCATCGAATTCTCATGTGAGGGTTTATTCCTCTGACAGAAAAGACAAGTCCGCACATAGGTTAATACATCTTCCTTCATTCATTTCCAGTCAAATCTTTCTCGAACATCGGCATACGTCTTCTTGAAACCAAAGTGTCATTTTGCATCATGGCATTCCCCAATGATTAAACTTTTAATTGGTTCGTGGTGAAAAACGCACAGTCGTTCTTCAGTTTTATCCAGCAAGAAAAGTAAGCCATAAGTCATTCGATATTCAAGAAATAGTGCAGGGTTCTTTCTCAGAGTCTCAATGATAGGACTCCAAATGGAATCATTCTCATAACCCTTCCTTATCTGTTCCTTCAATTCATTCCTAGTATCGAGATAGGAGACTATTGTTCCAAAGAAGTCTGCACGCCTCAACAAAGCATCCGCAACCACATTAGACTTTCCTTTGATGGTTTTCACTTCAAAGTCAAACGTATCAAGGAATGCGGACCATCTTACCAACTTATCAGAGAGTCTAGGCTGAATCTTGATCCACTTCAAAGTAGAGTGATCAGAGTAGATAGTGAAATGTCTTCCTAACAAGTAGTGTTTTCAGGTATCTAGTGCAGCGACTAAGGCGTACAACTCTCTTTCATAT